GTATTTTTATACAGTGGAGTATTACTCAGCTATAAAAAAGATAAACTCAAGGATTTATAGGTAAATGGATGCAACTAGAGACCATACTCATAAGTGAAAGAAATAGGACCCACATGAGTAAACATCATATTGTCTCCCTAGTGTAAGAACATGGAAGAGTAAGTAAAACCCAAAATGTATAACACGCCTGGTGGTTTATTGAAAGAAACAGTTAATGCTTAATTTTTTTTATATTTTGACCAATTTTGCATGCTTATATCTGGTATTCTGAGTAACTTATGTGAAGACAACTATATGCAATATAACGACAATTGGTGAATTCCTACCATCCTGTCTAGCGAAACTCCATATTGTCTCTAATGTTTTTTAAAATTTTTTATTTTCTTATTCCCTTTAATGGTTTGATCAATATTCTATTCTTACATCTGGTAATCTGAGCAACTTCGTTGAAGATAACAATATACAATATCACAACCACTGTTAATCCCTATCATTTGGTTTAAAACCCCATATCATTTTTAATGTCCTAGCTTTGTTTTCTTTGTATTTTGCTATTGTTCTTTTTTTTTTTACTATTCTCTTTATTTTTTTTTCTTTTTCACTATTTAAAATTTTTAAAAGTTGATACTTGTCTTCTGACATCTCTTTCACACTTCACTGGATTACAATGACTCAAACCACTTTAGTTTAAAGTAACATCATCTGGGCATAGTGGCACATACCTACAATCCCAACTACTCAGGAGGCTGGGGCAGAAGGTTTGTGAGCTTGAAGCCAACCTAGGTTACATAGTGAGAAATCCTTGTCTCAGAAAAACTAAATAGAGCAATATATGCATGAATAAATGATCAGCAACACTGGCATTTAAAAAAATGCAAATCAAAACAACATAGGTTCCACCTTACTCCAGAAAGAATTGTTATTCGCAAAGACTCAAACAAACAAATAAACAAATGCTGGTGAGTTTGTTGGGAAAAAGGAACACTTCTACATTGTTGGTAGAAATGTAAACCACAACAACCACTGTGGAAATCAGTATGGAGATTCCTCAAAAAACTAAAAAAAATTCTATTTCACTCAGTATACCTCTTTAGGGTATCTTCCTGAGTTAAATTGATTATATCACGGTAATACATGCATACCTATACTCACAATAGCTAAGTCATGGAAGCGGCCTACATGCCCATCAATAGATGAATGTATAAAGAAAATGTGGTATACAGATATACACAGTGGGGTGATATCTAGCCATAAAGGACAAAATTGAATCATTTGCAGGAAAATGGATGGATCTTGAGACCATAATAGTAAGTGAGACAAATCAGAGAAGGTTAAAAATTGGATGATTTCTCTGAGAGATCCAAAATATACACAATTTAATGAACAAAATAAGAAGGGTGACAGGAATCAGGGAGGTAGACTTTGTAAAGATGGGGTGGAAATCTGGAGGGAGGGAGAGTTAAAAGAACCAAGATGCCATATGTACCTGTACCAGTTCCCCAAGGCAAATGTAATTCATCCATATGCTGCAAACATATACCAATAGTTTTTTTTTTGTTTTGTTTTTGTTTTTTTACTAAATCATTAGATAAAGACAAAGGTCATCAGTACAACAAATGAACTGAGAGAGACCAGCCCAAAGCAATCATTTTCCTGTCAGGTAACTGAAATTCTGAAAGAGATGTGGCGTCCAAGGTCAGGCAGGCCAGTAACATTTACTTTACCCAAATGAAAAGGCATATCTCTTTTTAAACGCAGAACTCTAATGGAGGGTAATTACTGCTCATGATTTATTACCCGTAATGCGGTATTGGATAAACTGTGCCCTGGAAATCATCTCTTCCCTTCCTGAGCACAACCTTCTTCGCATCTCTTCCAGGTGTACCCGCAAAGCCTGGGCCCTTTGTGATTGGATGACTGTAACCCAGTCCGCCCCCACTGCCATCACCTTCCAACTAGGGCTAGGAGCCCGTAGCTGCACCAATGGGAGGTTAGCGGACACCCAACAAGGGCCAATCAGAGGCTGGAGCTCAACAGGGCACAGCCTGCTCAATCAGCATCCTAAGACATAGGCAGCAAGCTGTGCGGAGCGAGGCTCGCAGCTGGCCAATCAGCACGGGGTGGTGGTCGACGCGCGGGGGCGGTGCCTGTCGGAGCGGCCAGGTTGTGGGCACTGCCAGAGGCCGGGTGAGGAGAGTGGAGACCGGGGTCTGGGGTGCGGGACGAGGGTGCGGTGGGAACCTGAGCGGGCGCGGGGCGTAGGGGCGGGCGGTCACGGTGGCGCCGGGCGGAGGGACCCTCAGAGGGTCGGGCGCAGGGTGGGGGCGGGGGTGTCGGGAGGGAGACGTAGGTGGGGGTGGCGGTCGCCCTGCCCGGGGCGGAGCGGGGTTGCCGTGGCAACGTGTGTGTGCCTGCTGGCCCTTCCTGGCGCCTTCCCGGTCGCCAGCCGGAACGCTTTGCTCTTAAAACCCCGCACTCACCCGGCCCTGGAAGTCCCCGCGGGCTGGGACCTGCGGAGCAGTCGCCGCCCGGCGCCTCAATCGGCCCGGAACGTTGCTTGCGGGGGCTCGGGCAACGGGCTCTTCGGCGCGACCCCCGTCGCAGCCCTTTGGTGGCAGAGCCGCAGGTGGGGTCTAGCTCGGCCACTGGCACTGTAGGGATGCTGCTGCTGGGGACCTGGGCTCTCCCCCAGCAGGAGTTTTGTAAAAACGCCCCCAGAGAAGAGCCGTGTGCTTAAGTCCTCTGAGATGAGGTCTGACTGAATAAAAACTGCGATGGCAGCTTTACATCCCGTGGGGCAACTTGGGCCAATAAAAATAGAAAGCAAACCACATACGTAATATTACACTTTCTACTAACCATTAAGGTAATAAAACAGGTTAATTTTAATTACTTGACCTAATATATCCAAAATTTATAACATTCAGTCTTAAATTATTGATAAAATATTTGAAAGTCTACTTTTTTTCATCCAGTTGGTGTTCATATAACAGCACACCTCTCAGTTCCAGGCATTCAAGCTCTCATTGCCTCGTTTGCCTGGTGGCTACCCTATTTATTTGGTGGGGGGAATCCTCGGGATTGAGCCAACCCGGCATCACACATGCTAAACTGGCTCTCTACCACTGAGTTGCAGTCCCAGTTCTTAGTGATTACAACAGTGTTTCTTGCATATGTGAGTTGTGGCCAGAACATAATGTCAAAGTCACTAGTATTCTTTAAAGCCTTCCTGCCCCACTGCTTGCAAGGAGGTACTGTGCATCTAGCAACAAGAAGGCATGGTCCTTTTCTCCAAGGAGCTTCCAGTCTAATTGAAGAGAAAATAGATGTCCAAAGATTAAGTAGTATTTTAAATGAATATAAGTCAGGCAGTAGTTAAGATAACTGGGAATAGGGGCTGGAAATGTAGCATATGCACCAAAAAAAAAAAAAAAAAGAGATAACTGAGAGTATATGATTGACAGTGAGATGGCTGATAATTACCCCTAGGAATTCATGGGGAGGCTACTTCATGATGGGTAAGTCTGAGAGTGCTGGAAAAGATTACAATGGTGTTTTTAACTGCCTGGAATTGAATGTAACTTCTTCTGTCTTTAGGGGTGAAGTTTTGCCAAATCCAAAGGCTTTCGGACTGGAAAAGGTTTTCCTCTCTCCTGGTGGTCTCCACCATGATCCACAGTCTCTTCCTTATCAACTCCTCTGGAGACATTTTCCTGGAGAAACACTGGAAGAGTGTTGTCAGCCGTTCTGTTTGTGATTACTTTTTTGAGGCACAGGAGAGAGCTACCGAGGCAGAAAATGTGCCTCCAGTTATTCCTACCCCTCACCACTACCTCTTGAGTGTTTACCGCCACAAGATTTTTTTTGTGGCTGTGATCCAAACGGAGGTCCCACCCCTGTTTGTCATTGAGTTCCTTCATCGAGTAGTGGACACATTTCAGGTTTGTGAGTATGGGACGGTTCATGTGTGCAAACTATGAAGTATCTGTAGTCCTGTTTCTGTTGTATTCAGTCTCAGATAAGACAGTGTTTGCTTTTTTTTTTTTTTTTTTGGTGCAGGGAATCGAACTTGGGACCTCATGCTTGCCAGGCAGGTGTAATTCCCCTGAGCTATATTCCCAGCCCAAGACAGTGTTTAAGAAATCCAAACTCTGATATTGCTCACTTTCCCTCCCATTGAAAATTCTTCTTTCATTTATTTTTAATTTGTGTACTAGGGCTTGAACCTGGAATCTTTGCTCCAGCTATATCCTCAGACCTTTTTTTTGAGACAGGATTTTATTACATCACCCAGACTGTGGGCTTGGATTTGTGATCTTCGTGCTTCAGGCTTCCAGAATACTGGGATTACAGCCATACACTGCCACTCCTGGTTCTTGTTTCTTTATTGAACTGGCTGCATCAGAATGACCAAATGAATATTTTTTAATCTCTTGCGTGATAAACCTACCTACACTTGATTTGACTGTGTAAATTATACAGTATTTTTAGTTCTGATTCTACATTTTTCTCACAGATTAGACTTGATGCTAAACCATTGGTAATGTTCCTCTAAGTTACATCAAAAAGCAATAAATGTACAGTTTTAGAAAAAGTAGAAAAACCCAAATAATACGTATTTTATCTGTGCCTGGCAAGTATGAACCCATACTTTGGCTTAGGATGGTTATCCATGGCATGTGATGAGTTTTTGTTACAAATATAAGATTGGGAAATATTCTGTACCTCTGAGAATCATGACATATTTTGTGAGGTAGAGTTGTCATTATATTTGAAGATGTTAAGGGGCTAGGGTAGAGGGCAGGTATGTTATTTCAGGACATGAGTGTTGATCATACCACAGGATTTTAGGCTGCCCAGACTCCGGATTCAGGCAGTAGTAGCTCCCCTCCCAGTAGAATTTCACAACTTTTGCTGTGGTTATTTGCATAACACAGAAGCAAGGGCCCTTTGGTTTAACTTCTATGTCATGTGAGGTGTGGAGTTAATCACATGTGGGAGTTGTGGAACTGGAGAGAAAATGAGGACCCAGACATAAAAATTTGAAAGCAAATCAAGGAGTTCTTTCATTTACAGTCATCTCTGTGTCACATGTCTAGTGCTGCTTTTATTCCCAAGAGAATTAAACTATGTTTTATAAGTTGCATTCCTACAGCACTCTGAGAGTAGTAGTATTCTGCAGTTCTAATTTTCATGTAGCATAGTAGCTCCTTTACACAATGCAGACATGTTCAGCTCTCTGGTAGTATGTTGTCTAGCATGAGTGAACCCCTGGGGTGATTCCAAGTGTTATTTAAAAAAACAAACAAAAACGGAATTGCCTCAGGCCTCATTATGTGAAGGAAGTAGGAATAGAAAAACCCATGATTTTATTTTATTTTTTATTTTAAAAATAAAAGGAGGAAAACATTAACAGACAGACAACCTTTCACAAAATAGCAAAAGAACAGTAGACAATACAGAGTTACAAACAGAGTGGTAGGAAATTAACAATGCTTGTTGTATTACATATTGATATCTTCAAAGTGGTTTCTCATGAAAACAAATAGAGACATGCAATATTGATCAATCAAGAACTCATTAACAGTTTCTTTCAGCAAAGAAATAGAAGACAGTAGAGCAACTATGTTAACTATCCTGTATATACATACATACAACATTTCTCCTTCTTTCCCTTCTCTTTTCCCACATCCCAGTTGCCCTTTACCCTTGAGTGTTTTCCTATCATTTCACAATGTCTATCATACTTCTGAGTTTATATTAACTCTTTTCAGGTTTTACACTAGTGAGACAGTGCAGTGCTTGCACATGCAGGTCTGATTTATTTCACTTATGAGTATGGTTTCTAGTTGTGACCATTTACCTACAAAGGCCTCGAGTTTATCTTACCTTATAGCTGAGTAATGTCCCATTATGTAAAAGTACCCCAATTTTCTTATCCGGATGGACATTTGGGTTGCTTCCACAATTTAGCAATTACAAATTGTGCTGCTATCACATAAGTGTACATATATCACTGTGATACGATATTTTTAGATCTTCTGGGAAAATACCCAGAAGGGGGATAGCTGGCTTGAATGGGACCTCTAGACCTACTTTGCTGAGGAATCTCCAAACTGATTTCCACAGTGGCTTCACCAGTCTGCATTCCCACCAGCAGTGGAGAAAGGTTCCTATTTCTCCACAGCCTTGCCAGCATTTATTATTGGTTGATTTTTTAATGCTAGCCATTCTTACTGGGGTAAGGTGGAATCTCAGTGTTGTTGTAATTTGCATTTCTCGAATGACTAATGATGTTGAACATTTTCTCATGTATTTATTTGCCGTTTGTATTTCATGATCTGCGAAGTGTGTATTCATCTCAGCTGCCCATTTTTGGATTGGGTCTTTGAATTTGGAGGGACTGATATTTTAAAATTCTTTATATGTTCTAGATAGAAGCCCTTTATCTGAGGGACAATCAGCTAAAATTTTTTCCAAGTTTGTGGGTTTTCTTTTTACTCTGCTGGTAATTTCTTTAGATGTGCAGAAACTCTTCAATAGGATGAGATCCCAGTTGTTGATTTTTTGAAGTGTTTCACGTGCAGTTTGGTGTTTTTTCATGAACTCTGTGCCTACCCCTATGTCTTTGAGGTTTTTACCTACTTTCTCTTCCAACAGATTTAGTGCTTCTGTTTTAATATTGAGATCTGTGATCCATTTTGACTTGAGTTTGGTGCATGGTGATAGGCTTGGGTCTATTTTCAGTCTTTGGCAGGTGGCAAGCCAATTTTTCCAATACCATTTATTAAAGAGGCTGTCGTTCTTCCAGTGAATTTGATTGGCCCCTTTATCAAAGATTAGGTGGCTGAGTGTGTTTTTGGTTGTGGCTGTTTTCTTCAGTCTGTTCCATTGATCCTCAGGTCTGTTTAAAACCCATGATTTTAAACCACTCTTAACAGATACTGTTTGTGATGTTGTCTTAGTTACTTTTCTCTCGTTGCTGAGACAAAATACCCAACGTCCAAAATGAAGGAAGGAAAGGTTTATTTAGCTTACAGTTTGTGGAGGTTTCAGTCCATACTTGGCTGGCTCCGAGGTGGAAAGATAATAAAGCAACAAGAGCAAGGGGGGGAATGGCAGCCGAACAGCAAACCAGAGGAATGGCGGCAAGCAGCTTCTTTCCCTGCCTTACTTTGTAAACGGGCTACCCGCACCTAAGGGGTGTGTAGCTCTCACATAATCTCCATGCTCTCCTCTTCCACAGGCTCAGGATGTATACAAAGTAAGCACTCTGGCTTCCTGCTAAGTCACTTAGCCAAACCTCTAGACTCCCAAGTTGACACAATGTATCAACCATAACAGATGTCCCCATCAACAATATCACTGGTGAAATTCTACAGATGCCTCATCTCGCCATACCACTGTTATGTAACTGTTACAGGATGGAGAGTGGGAGAGGGGTTCATTTCAGTTGAAACCACAGTGGAACTTGCAGAAACAGAGTACAGTTGCTAATTTAGAAGCCTGGGGTTTCAGACCCTGTCATTTTTGTTTTGTTTTCTGTTTTTTTTTTTTTTGGTTTTTCTCCGGTACCGGGAACCGAACTCATGACCTTGTGCTTGCCAGGCAGGCGCTTTTGCCGCTGAGCTAAATCCCCAGCCCAGACCCTGTCATTTTTGTAGCAGTTCTTAAAAATAAATGCACAATCCTTATTTCAATGTCTTTTTTTGCTGTTCAGCCTCTCCAGCAGCATTATTTTTCTAGTACTAGAATATGATGCAAGGGACCCAACTAAAGAATTTCAGCTGCTTATGTCATGCTATGTCTGGTTTCTACAATCTAGTGAAATGTTTTGTTTACTTTTTAATATAAAATCACTCTTGAGAAGGAAATATGGTGATTCCCCCCCTTAAAGAATCATTTGTCGTTTTAGGAATATATTCCTAACTCCTAAGTGATTTGGCTGTTAGAATTTCACTGGTAATTGACATCTGATACAATTCAGACCACATAATAGAGTCTTTCCAATTTTGTGTATGTGCTACCAAACTGAGCACAATGTTTTCAAACTGCAAAATGGTGACATGATCTGAAAACTATACCATAGTATGAATAGTGGGAGTTTGTCTCAGAAAAGGAAAAAAAGGTGAAAATTTACTTAGATACATTTTAGATAATGACAGGGCTAATGTATAAACTTGTTCTGTAAGGCAGCTAGGAAGCAGATTTCAGTTTAGCAAAAGAAAGAGTTTCCTAGTGATTAGAGCTCTCCATGAGAAGGATGTGATTTCTCAGAAGGGGTAATTTCCCTTCATTGGATGAATTGAGGAAGGGTTGCATGACCATTTTGGAGACCCTGTAAGAGAAGGATATGCTAATGACAAACATTCCTTCCTAAATTATCATCATCCATTCCATTTTGCATAGTGCTTTACAGTGTACAAAGTACTTTTGCATGCTTCCTCATTTTATCAGTCCTACTGAGTCCTTACAACTTGCTTCTGCATCCAAATGATGTTATCTTGATTAAAGAAATCAGGCCCCATATTAACACTACTTAATCCAGTAAGTGACAGGTAAGGAGGTGTGGCTCAGTGATAGAGCATGTGCTTAGCATGCGAGAGGTCCTAGGTTCCATCCCTGGCACCAACAAAACAAAAACTAAATCCAGTAAGTGCCAATTGAGATTGTAATCCAGGTCTTGTGATTGTAGTATCCAGTGCTTTTCCCAAACGCAGATAATTCAGTATCTGAGTTTATCCCTTTTGTTCTTTTTAGTTTGAGATGGAGTTGCCTGTGCTGAGGGATTGCTCAAGCTCATCTCTGTTGCTCATGCTGTCCTCAAAACTCCTGAGCTTAAGTGATCCTCCTGCCTCAGCCTCCCAAGTGCTGGAACTGCAGGCATGTGCTACCATGCCCAGCTAGATTAGCTTCCTTGGTGAAAGGACAAAGTGTTCTTAGAATCCTAGTGTGAGGGAAGATGCAAAGTGATTTTCTGCCCTGCTGGCTCACCCCGTCATTTCATTTTCTCTCAACTCTTAACTCAATGCACAAGTGTTAAGAAAAAGCACGGGGAGGGGGGTGTTTAAAAAGATGTCACATACAATTCTGTGTCATATCTAGTGTAATAATTTTGCATAATTCTTTTAAATTCTTGTTTCCAAGCACAAATAACCTAGATTCAGTTTTGTATTCTGTGTATTTTATCAAGTTTAAGAAACTAACTGAAGAGGTCTTCCTGTTTGCAGAAGAAGCTCCTAATGATATCTGACACTGGTACAGTAAACCAGGAGGCCGAGGAGAACCTGGCCTTGCTCTGTGCCCTCGCCATACAAGAGTGACCCAGGGGGCTGGGGATTTAGCTCAGCGGCAAAAGCGCCTGCCTGGCAAGCGCAAGGTCGTGAGTTAGGTTCCCGGTACCGGAGAAAAACCAAAAAAAAAAAAAAAGAGTGACCCAGAAATACCGAGTAGATGTAGGGCCAGACCCTTACACATAGGAACATACTTCTGTTTTTCTTACAGGTTCTAAGTGATGAATATTTGTGTTCTGTCTTCATCAGGATTATTTTGGAGTATGTTCAGAGCCAGTGATTAAAGACAATGTGGTTGTGGTTTATGAGGTATTGGAAGAAATGCTTGACAATGGGTTTCCCTTGGCTACTGAGTCAAACATCCTCAAAGAACTGATAAAGCCTCCCACAATCCTTCGGACAGTTGTCAACACCATAACAGGTATGGTGTGTGGACCACAGAGGCCACCTGCCTCCTCTGTGACCTTTTCTGGTGCATGTGTCGTGTGGAGTGATGACTCTCAAGTTAGATGTTTACTTTCACTCTTTATGGTCTCTGAGACTCATCGGAAATTACATACGTATTTTGTGTAGAACATACCCTGTTCTCAGTAGCAAGATAAAGTATTCATGGTCTGGGGCCTAGCTTGACAGAGCACTTGCCTAGAATGTGTGAGGCCATAGGTTCCATCCTCAGCACCACCAAGAAAAAAGTATTCTTTAGTACAATACTTTTTTTCACATAAAAGTATTCTAACAATACTTTTTTTCTAATTATAGAAGACATTATTATAGAAATTTCAGAAATACAGGAAAACACAAAAGAACAAAAAAGCATTCTAACATGTTCACAGTAAGGCTGCCATTAGTATGTCTTGCTGCCAGGCACCAGTGGTTACTGGTGGCACATGCATGATTGCTGCATTGTGTGGCCTGTACCACCAATGCCACTGTCTGCACTGCCTGATGGGACAGTTTTGTGTCTTCCCCTGGGGTTCAAGCCAGCAGGAGCACGTTAACCCTACTCTTTGAACATGCTGTTGTTTATATTTCTTATCTTTTCTAGATAGATGAAAGATGAGTGGATAGAATATTTTTAAACAAAATTTTTGCATTTCTTAAATTTCTATTTTACCAATATTTTGTGAACATATTATGAAATTCGGTATAATTTTTAATGCCAGTGTAGTTTCCTCCCATATTAAAAACTATGAGGTTATTTATTCATTTCATGTTTATGGTGCTTCTTTTTGTTGTTTTAAATAACAAGGAATTAACATTCTTATGTTTTTATTTATTTTGAGACAAAGTCTGGCTAAATTACCCAATCTAGCTTTGAATTCACAATCTTTCTGCCTCAGCCTCCTGCATAGCTGGGACTATAGGCCCGACACTGTGCCCAGCTAGGAGCATTATTATTTTATTTATTTTGTGGTACTGAGGATTGAACCCAAGAGTACTGCACCACCAAGCTATATGTACATCCCTTTTTATTTTTTATTTTGAGGCAGTATGTTGCTAAGTCTCGCAAGTTGTGTTCAAATTTCCAGTCCTCCTGCCTCAGCCTCTGTAGTGCTGGGATTGCAGGTGTGCTCAAATGGATCTGGCGACGTTCTTTCCATTTAGATCTTTGTGAATATTTAGCAGGATTTCTTTTCAGTACTAAAACTGGAAATACTAAGTCAGGGGGTATGTACATTGTAGGGACTTTCATGCATTGTGTCAGGCTGCCGTCCTTAAAATGGTAACACAAATTTAGGTTTCAGTGGCAGTTTCTGTGCATTGTACTCAACCCTGTTATTAACTTTTAGAAATTTTGGCAGTTGATAGTTTGTTGACATCTTTTTATCTACACATTATTTTTGTTACTAGAGAGGTCAAAACCTGTTCACATGTTTACTGATTATTCTCTCTGTAGTGAATTACTTTTTCAGGTCCTTTGCCCTTTTTTTTGAAATGTTTTTGTTTCATACTGATATAGAAGAATTCATTCATTTAAGGATATACTCCAATATATGTGATAGTTTGTAGGAGTTTTTATGTATTTTAAATCCTGCATTGCAGACATAATCTCATAGTCTGTCACTTGCCATTTAACATTGTTTATGGTGTTTTATTTAGCCATATTTTACTTTATTTTTTATAATTAAGTTTATTGGTGCATAAACTTAATTATATATTTTTAATTATAAATTAAACTTAATTATAAATTTTAGGTATGCATAATGATCATATTCATTATAGGGAATTTGTACATGTACTTGATATAACCTGATTCTTTTTTTTCCCATTCCAGGACCCTCCCTTTAACCCCTCTTCCCCTCCTTATTTGCAAAGGCTTTGTTTCCATTTTTTCTGTCTTTTCTCATCATTTTTTTCTTTTCCCTTTTTTCCTCCCTACTGCCTCTCTCCTTAATTCCCCTTCCCACTTGAATATTTTCTTCCTATTTCACAATATCTGTTGTATATTTTGGTCCTTATTTATACTTTCAGTTTCTTACACCAGAGAAACAGTGCAGTGTTTGCATATGTATGTCACTTAAGAGTATGTATTTAGCCATATTTTAAATGTTTTGGGTTTTTTTGTTTGTTTGTTTGTTTGTTTTTTTTTTGTTTTTTTCTCCGGTACCAGGAACCGAAGTCACGACCTTGCGCTTGCCAGGCAGGCGCTTTGCCGCTGAGCTAAATCCCCAGCCCCAAATGTTTTGATTTAGTCCAATTAATCATTATTTCATTAAGATTTTAATATTTTGAATATTGTGTGTTTCATGGAATTTGACAAATCAACTAATTGAAAAATAAACTTTCAAAAGTGTAGATTTTGAAAGTAATTATAAAAGACTTGGAAGGATTTGCTTTGTCATGACATTAAATTCATGTTGTACACAAGGCAAAAATTTATAGAGTAATGGTGCTATAAGAGCCAAGCCAGTTTTGCAAATAATTTTTTTAAGCAGAGAGTAAGAAAAAATGTATCATACATATACAGGATATATGAAGAAGTTTTGATAATTAAAAAAATACCATATAGACCCAATAACAAATTTGGTATGTTTTACAATATTCTGAGTTCATTTTAAGCCTTGGAAGGTTTGTGTCTGAGTTGCTTTATGGATATTATGAAGTTGTTTAAGCCTGTATCTTACTTAAATCTAGAAAAGTGTCTGAAAACACCTTATGAATAACTGAAGTGTTTTTATAAATATGCTGAGTAAATGCGTGCTTAGTGTTTCTGTAGACTAGAAAGACCCTGTCAGTGGAAAGAGGAAATAGAATTTAAGTTATTATTTCAGTGTAAAACCTTTGAATTAAATAATTTTGATACTTGTGAGGGGAAAGCAGGTCAAGGAGTTGATCTTTAACCCTGAGGACAGGATAATGTTGCATCTGGGGGACGAGCCCCGCTGCTCTGAGCAGCCCACCAGGGTCCCAGCTCAGCCTAATAATAAATTGGAGGGGCAAAGTTTAATGAAAAGAAGACACTTTATTTGTAAAGGGGAAAAGAAAGGAGAGAGGAGAAGATAGATAGCTATGCTGCTAAGAAAGAATCAGGGTAGGGGGCTCTGGAAAGATGGAGGACCTTTGGGCTCTTTGTTCCTGTTTTTAATGAGGGGCAGGTGACTCCCCTCTACCTGGAACCTGCCATAACTGGGTTGGCTTCCGGGCCATCTGCCCAACATTTCTTCCAGTGGTCGATGTGCAGTTTCGTCTGTTTGTTTATTTGTCTTTGACCTACTTTTGAAGGCCTCATCTTTGAGGTGGGTGACTAGTTGGCAAGGGGGGTTGCTTAGTCTTGGTTAGCTTAGTGTTAGTAAGGGATTTATGGATATTTGTTGTACTCTATAATGACTCTAGAAATGAATAACATAGTGACTCTAGAGTGACTGTACATGTGTATATATATATGTATATGTTAGTGCATTGACCCTGGTGGGCTGCTCAGAGCAGCGGGGCTCGTCCCCCAGACGCAACATTGCCTTAGTCATCACCCCTATCATTTCTCCTATATTTTATTGGAGGTGGGGCTGCTTATCATTTGGTTTTCTTTGTGTTCCCTGCCTGTCAGTTCTTTTTCTGGTCTCTTGGTGCAAGTCCCAAAGCCATTTGGTACCTTTCTTTATCTGGTCTTTTTTTTTTTTTTTTTTTTTTCTACCTCTGTCTTTGACTTGCTTCACAGGGGAATCTTTCTAATAAAGTTTGCTTTTAACTCCTTCTCATCAGGATTAGCTGGAAGACCAAAGGAGACCCCTATTTTATTTTCTCATCTGCAGACCCTCTACCTGTGTTCTTTGCCTAAACTTCAGTATTGGTGTGAGCCGGATCATGTTGATGTATACAACTTCATATCCACCATTAATGTACCTGAGAACCTCTCTCAAACTAGAATAAGTTTTTTACCCATGAAAATCTTATATCAATATGTAGATTACCAACAAATCCCTCCTGCAAATCAATACATTATTTAAGCTGCAAGCTATTGTGATATTTGAGACACTAAGTTCATGTTATTTTCAAAACCAAAATATGATATCTGTTTCTCAGGTAACTTTTTAAAAGCCTTTATTCTGCTTGAGGCAGACCAGATGGCAACAGTGAGTTTTAAAAATAGACTATGTCGCCCTACATAGAAGTTGGGAAAATACTCTTCTTCTATGTAATAACACTGGAATGGTGAGCACATAGGACCTTCTAGGGATATGTTCTTTGCTTACTAGAATTTACTAGAACCCAACTGGCATTAAAGTGCTCATTGGATTCTACAAGGACCAATGCCACCTTTTTTAGGAAGCACCAACGTGGGCGACCAGCTTCCCACGGGGCAGCTGTCGGTGGTGCCTTGGCGACGGACAGGCGTGAAATACACCAACAACGAGGCCTATTTTGATGTGATTGAAGAGATTGATGCCATCATTGATAAGTCAGGTAGGTGCTGCTAAGCTGTTTTCAGAGATAGGGAAGTGCAGTGCCCCTCTCATGTTACCCATGGTAGCCTCTGGTGTAGCCCCCTTTGAGGATCATTCCTTTTAATTTAGTGCCAACTTTGTCAGGTGCTGTGCTGCATAATAGGAGTGAATATTAATATTAAGGTGCACACTAGTGTTTGTCGCACACTTTTACTTTTTTTTATATAACTCTTATTCTCATGCATAAAAAGGGAAGTAACAAGCTAATATCTTGTTGATTAGATTTTGCCTTGTTAAAAGTATTTGACTCCCAATTCTAATTTCAGAACTAAAATTGTAATTACTAAGATTCAGGGAACCTTCTTTCTGTCTATTCTGAATTAAGTAAATGTGACTAGAGGTTTTAGAGATTAGAAATTCATAGGAGATTCACCTTAGTGAATTTACCCACTCAACATGCACCATAGTCCAGTACTGGATTACAGGTGTTGGTGATGAATAAGACATACTGGGGACAGTTGAAGACTTAGGTAAACTCTTATACAAGAGAAAGGAGGTACAAAGGTGAGCACAAAAGAGGTGCCCTCTGTCCTAAGTGAAGTGCACACAGGTGATTGTGTGTGTGCTTTGCAGTGGGATGAATAGAAGTTTTTAAGACCGGGATTGATTTGAGTGCAGTCACTCTGGTGAGTACAGTAGTCCCAAAAATATTTTTGGGAAATAAAGTAGTTCAGTGTGACTGAATTGAGAAGTATAAAAAGAGAAAAGTAAGTGATGAGACCTTATATTAAGGCAATAGAGGAACTCTTCATATTAGTCCAGTGGGAGGAGATAAGCAAATATCCACCAGCAACATAGAAATGTTCAGTAAATTTTGATGTGAACAGAGAGTGAAATACTATGCCATAGTGTACACGAATGAACTGTGGGTACACTCCACAGCATAAGTGTATCTCACAGTATTGAGCATAAAAGTCAAGTGCGTAAGATTGTATATAGTGTGATTACTTTTATCTGAAGCTTGAAAACAGGCACAGTTTAGGGTACTAGAAGTCAGGATTTGGGGGATGCCATTACTGAGGATGGACATCAGGAGATATACCAGGAGAATGAAAAGCTTTCCATATCTTGATGTGGGTGCCATTTACATAGGTGTATGCATGTTTGAAACTGAACTGTAAGATTTTTGTATTTTACTATTTTACACCAAGGGAAAAGTTTAAAAACTTGATGGCCAGATCACAGTGAGCCTAGTGTGGTGTTTTAAGGAGAGTGGTTGGGAGCATTCGAGAGTCTTTGACTGGTCAGTAACCTGACCAGGCTGGTCTTTCCAGCAATGCATCTGGCTCACTGTGAAGAGTGACTCCAACAGCATCAGACTAGAGGCAGGTGAGATGGTTGAGGCTGTTGCTGAGGGCCAGGCATGAAATACAGATGTTGATAATGGTAGTTAGGGCCACGAGGAACAGATGTGTTTAAGATACAAGTCCTAGAAAGACTGGTAATGGACAGGATGTGGGGACTGAGGAAGTAGAAATAGTCAAAGATCCATTTGTGCTGCTGGCTTAGGCAACAGGATAGCTGGGACTATCCTAAGAGTATGGAAAGTAGGAGTGGGTCCAGGGAGTAAGATAACGAATTTGCTCGCTTTTTGGCCTGTGGAGTCTGAAGCACCCCGGGGGATTTCTGCTACTCAGGAGTGAGACTGAACTTGAAAGCAGAGTAGAAAATCATCATCTATAAATAAAAATGGAAGCTGTAGGAAGTAGGTAAAGCAGCCCAAGGAGAATGTGAAAGAAAAGCCCAAAACTGCAGAAAAGCATACACATTAAGGGGTATACAGAAAGAAACCTGGAAAAGACTCGGAGCGAGGGGACCTGGGGAAATGGCAAGAACAAGGAAAGGTTAGAAGAGAGGAGCATTTAGGAAGAAAGAGTGGTCAGCGGTGACCAGTGCTGCAGCAAGGTCCTGCAGGACACAGACTGCAGGTTCTGTTTGACAGATTGTGGAGCCCGTTGTGACCTCAGGGAGAACGGTGGCTGATGAGAAATTTTCTGCATCATTGGTTAAGCTAATGATGCTCTGTGTGATTCTGGTACTAGATTAAAAATTTGAGGCTAGTAGCTGCCTCATTAATATTTATGCCTGTTACTTCCTTATAACATCTCATACTTGGTCTCCAGTTGGTAAAAGTTTAGAAAGATACACAAATGGATTGGATAAGTGAATTGATGGTGAGAGAGAAGGAAAAAAGGGAGGTCGGGGAAGGAAAAAGGGAACGAAGGAGGTGGGAAGAAGCGAAAAGTCTCAAGGGAGAGCCACAGAAGCGATCCATGATCTTTTTGTCTCCTTCCTGTCTCAGGTTCCACAATCACTGCGGAGATCCAGGGGGTGATCGATGCCTGTGTTAAGCTGACTGGAATGCCGGACCTTACGCTTTCTTTCATGGTAAATTCGGGGCAGAGCTTGAGTTCTTGAGATGGGAAATTAAATGTTTCTGGAAAGATTGAGTGATAAGAATGACTAGAATAAAAAGAAATAATTAGGGAAGCACCATATCTTATATCAGGTTTGAATTTTCTATAACTACAGAATTTCTGTGTGTGTGCATGGCTTTTAATAAAAACAGCATCTAAATTACTTTTCCTAAAAGAAGCATAGTGTTTGATCCAGCTTCTCGCTTTCCTGCCTGGTGACTGCAGAACCCCAGGCTGCTGGACGACGTCAGCTTCCATCCTTGTGTTCGTTTCAAGCGCTGGGAATCTGAGCGGATCCTGTCCTTCATCCCTCCTGACGGGAACTTTCGCCTGCTCTCGTACCATGTCAGTGCACAGAAGTAAGCAGCTCTCGTCACTCAGATAGGATCTGTGTCTATACGTGTATGTGGAAACAGGATCTGTAGTGATTAAGAATTAGGCTCTAGAGTTTCCGGGGTTCAAGTTCCAGCTCCAGTAGTTACTAACTGTGTCAGCTCCGGTGAGTTGTTTCCCTACTCTGTGTGTTTTCTTGTCTGAAAGTAATGAAAGTACCTTCTTTATGAGGATTAGGTATGAGAATATAAGTAGTGCTTCATATGAAGTAAGGACTCATTAACCTTTGGTGTTGTGTCCAAACAAGAACATTTTCTTCTCTCAAATTATAAACTGAGCATACCTATGTTCAATCTCCTGGCTCCCCAAAATGCACTAAATCATACTGTGAAACAGTGAACAGTGCTTTTTGGTCCTGAATATTCTGTTCAATTTGGAGTGGAAAAGGCCTTGAAAGCAGTATTGTGCCAAAGGTGTGCGTTGAGATCTAGAGACCTCACAGCTGCCAGTACTTTCCTGTGTGACTTGGAATCAGTTATTTAGGGAAATATTTGGGTGCTTCAGGTCAGAAGCCCTGAAATCAGACTGTTGGGACTTAAACTCCACCTTAAGGATAGTACTTGGAATATATGACCTCAGGCAAGGTATGTAACCTCAGTTAAGTATAACGACTTCAGTGTTCATCTAGCAAGGCATTGCTCACTTCATACTTCGTACTTACTAGGAGGTTATATAAGCGAAGGATTACAGGCTAAAGGTATTTAGCATAGTGACCGGCACACTGGATATATTTACTAAATGTTAAGAACTATTATTACTTTAGGATTATCTTGTGGCTTCTCTATTTCCTGTCCTTTCAAGTCACGACTCTACCTCTTAGGATTTTGTGAGGTTCACATGAAGTCAGAAAAAGAACCTTCAAGAAATTATTAAAAGTTCTGAGGTATGAGTATTACTCTCCCCAGTACAAATAATGACTGGTCATATTTCACAAATTAAAGCATAGAAACATAGTGACTCCATTTTTGCTTATTACTCCTTTTGCATGGTACCCTTGGTGTGCTCTTTGATTTGATTTTATGCTTTTCAGAGTCATCAGAAAACTTAGTTTATTTACTAGACAGCATCTTAGCTTTTTAAAAGAATGATTGCTTTTTTTTTTTTTTTTGTATTTTTAGGATAAGGAATAAGGACATAGATAAGGGAGAAAAAGCTACCAAAAAAAAAAAAAAAAACCCACATAATTTAAAAGGGGGAAATAATGCCATTTTTCCAGTACATTAATGAAATGGATTCTTTGTTTCTCTTTTCCAGTCTGGTTGCAATTCCAGTGTATGTGAAACATAATATCAGTTTCCGGGACAGTAGTTCACTTGGACGTTTTGAAATAACAGTGGGACCAAAGCAGACAATGGGGAAGACCATAGAGGGAGTGACTGTCCTCAGCCAGATGCCCAGAGGAGTCCTGAACATGAGCCTCATCCCATCCCAGGGGACGCATACATTTGACCCAGTGACAAAGGTAGGGGGGAAAGCAAGACGTTTTTAATTGCACAAGTAACTCTGCAGGTACTCCCATGCAGACTTGAGGCCTTGTTTAGAAGGCAAGGTTAATCAAAGAGATGTTTTCTTGTTTTAAATAACTTATGGTGACAAATAGGACTCTATTGAAAAATACCCCAGAGGCAGCTTATGATTCTGTGAACAGAAGACCTCAGGTTAGAGCTCAGCTACCTCCAATAAAGGGTTCCATTATACTTTATTTTTTTACTGTAAAGACTACTTCTTTTTAAAATTTTCTTTGAAGATGCTGTCTTGGGATGTAGGAAAAATAAATCCTCAAAAGCTACCAAGTTTGAAGGGGACCATGAGTCTACAAGCTGGAGCTTCCAAGCCAGATGAAAACCCCACAATTAACCTACAGTTTAAGATCCAGCAGCTGGCCATTTCCGGTGAGTGACCCACACCTTGGCTAGCTGTCTGGGAATGGAAGTGGCTTTCTTTCATAAGATGTGGGCATCAGGAAGCCTATGGCTCCCTACTTAAAGATGTGGTTTTGTTACCTGATGTGTATCTTAAGGAAGTCTTTTCCCCCATATTTCTGGGGGAAGTTTAGGGTCCTTATTTAGAAGTTGACTGGAGTGTCTAAGACACAATGGAGAAGGAAAAAATATTGGTGGCCAGCAGTGTTCATGGGCCATTGTTCAGTCATCTTACTGTTGTTGATTGGAGGTTCTTGCAGTTTTCAGTATATGAGTGCTCCTGCATCCTTAGCTAGTAATAGAAAAGAACCATTTGCATTCCTTTTTCCCAGTTACAAAAGACTTTTGTGTTTGTGTTAGGTATTACTTTGGAACCACTGGACCTGTGCAGCCTAGTCTCTCCAGTCTACACCTTGCTTAGGATGGTAGTGATGATAATTTGCCATTTACTGGGCATTTGTTATGTACTGGACACTCTTCAGCTTTTTCTTGTATTTTATTGTTTAACAACCCCACAGGGTGGAAAGGAAATGACTTTAAGTTTTTATACTATTGCCATTTTTTCTTTACTAAAAGACCTTCTCTAATTTAAGTATTAAGCTAAATTATAAGCTTTTAGTAAGCATTTAAGCATTTAATAAACTGTCAAGCTATATACAGTATCAATTTTTTGGTCATTATTATGAGAATACTTAGCATTCATTGATTAATTCATTCTCAGTTATAGTATATTGCATTACTAATTCATTAATTTTGTTATTACAAATTTATTTGCTAAGTCCAGTGACTTGAGAAAAACATAGAGTGGTCTTATTTTTTCCTTCCTGTCATTTCAATCTGTGAATAATTTTCTACCCTTTCCACTTTAGGAAGAGGTCTTCTTATAGGATAACTTTTGGTTGAAGCAATTTTTTGTTGTCAGTATATCAGCTCAGAGTGAAAAATCTGCCAGCTTCACAGAAGTGGTTTATCGATACAGAAATTTCCATCATACACACTGTTTGAATTAAATGAATGTAAGCGGTAATGTCACATACTTATCCTGAATAATGCCCATGTTTTATTTTACCTTCCTTCCTCCCTTCCAGGACTCAAAGTGAATCGTCTGGATATGTATGGAGAAAAATACAAACCCTTTAAGGGCATAAAATACATGACCAAAGCTGGAAAATTCCAAGTTCGAACCTGAAGGGAGAATTTTGTAGAAGGAACAACTATGAACACTTTTTCATTTCTTCCTTGTCTAAAAGTAAAAAAAAATATCAGCCTGTCGCTTAGGTCAGTCCCCCTAGGACTCACCAGCTCCCTTTTTTCCTTAGCCTTAAGTGCCATGGAATTAATCAAGGGAGAAAAGTGTTACCAGGGAGAATGGGACAGAACTGAAACACAGTCAGCAGCAGCTCAGTGTAAAGGAGGCATGTGCTGAAGGCTGGTGATACTTGCCACCATGTTTAACTACTCTTAACGTGGCTTCTGTAGAAAATGATGAGCATTTGTTGCTTGCTTGGTTTTAATTATCTAAAGCCAATGAAAGATTTCTTTGATTTTTTAAGGTAGAAAGAGAAACAAGAAGGAAAGGAAAGGGGAAAGGGAAAGGAAGAGATAAGGTAAAAAATGAATGTTGAAGAAAGCCCAGCTAAAGATGGATCTGTGGGGCTGAGGTTGTGCTCTGTGTTAAAGTCCTTGCTTATCAGGCTCTGGGTTCAATTTCGTGTGTGTGTGTGTGTGTGTGTGTGTGTGTGTGTGAGAGAGAGAGAGAGAGAGAGAGAGAGAGAGAGAGAGAGAGAGAGAGAGAGAGATCTATGAAGGAGAAGAAAGGGGAAATAGTATTAAAGAAGAGTTGTGAGGAGGATGGGCAAAGAAAAGTGATCAGGTCCCTGTAAGGAGGTTTGGGAAGAGTAGGGTTGAGATGGTTTCTTTCTGATCCCACTGGTATATAAAAATCCTTTGTACTTCTGGAAATGAATTGGAGCCTTCTTAAACCCAAGTCCATTCCTGCCATGGAAAACCCAGTAGACTCAGATTTTCCCTTGAAGACTATGATGATATTGGACTGGTTTTCAGGTTCTATCTGTTGCTTGCCTTTAATACTTAGGCTGTCGTCTTCTGTGAGAAGATGACCCATCTTCTTGCCAAAACAGTTGTATTCACAACACTCTGTAGAATTCACTAGTTTTTTCTGGTTACCTGATTCTTCTTCAGAGTTTCCTAAAGCTTTGGAGAGTTTCATTGCAGCCAGATTTCATGAGTCATAGCATTGGAGTGGAGATGGCAACTCTTTTCCCCAGGAAAGGGGCCCACAGCTATAACCCAGTGACCCCACATTCACGTGTGAACAATGCTCATGCCCATGATACTGGATCCTAAGCCTTCCTGCCTGAAGCTTCTCCATCAGTAGCCCTGAATAAAAAAACCCTACTTGCTATTGAGGGCCTGATAAACTGTTAAAGCTGCATGGTAAAGTTATTTCTTCAGTCTTGGGTTCTGTACTCTCCTCTATAATATGCCTATTAATAGTAACTATCAGTCCACTTTTAAGACAAGTCCCTTAAATCTTTAAATAAAATTAATTTTGTAAGACAGGTAATGTTGATGGTGTGTAACCAAGTCAGT